GCGCGCGCGCGAGCGCGCTTGCTTGTATTTTAATATTAAAGAAAGAAAACATTTTTTCTTAGATGTGTATAGCAGGAGGTACAACATACAGAGAACTGTTGTTTTTATTACTGCTGGGACAAGTTTTTGCTCATAGAGGGCAAAGAGAATAGGAAAATCTAGTAAGAGCACTGAGTGGTAGCAGTGGGGTCTTGGAGTGGAGCCAAGGTGGCTGCAGAGAGGGGCTTTCTACCCACCTCCTGAAACTCAGCAAGGTGAAGGCAACTTAGGCAGAATTAGGGGTGGACATTCTTGCCATGAATGAATGAACTGCTTGCCAGACTTATCCCAGACAGTAGGTTATTTGAGGGAGTTTCCATTTCAATTGGGTTGGACATTGGCAAAAGGGAATCCACGTAAGAGAGGAAAAATTTAATTGGTCTCTACATGCGAGACGCCCCTCCTGTCACTCTCAGAAATAACAGGGAGAAGCTTCCAAGCTTATCAGCAGGAATGCTGTGTAAAGTACACTTACCATACAAGAATTGTATTTGGGACAGTCAAGGTAAAAAATGTATAGGCTCAGCAGCACTGCTCAATATACTCTTGCTTACCCCCTAAACAGTCAAGAGCAGTGTGGAGTTGACCAAAAATAACTAGGACCTGGGACATGATTGTTTGACATCCAGATGGAATGGTTTTGCTCACCTTGTATAACTTGTCTGCCTCTGGGAGTCCAAAAAAAAAAAAATGATATATAAATTCTATCATTTTCCTGTCATCATAGGATTAACAAGATCTCCAAATTCAGGTAATTGTTCCTCCTTCCTTAAGTTCTACTAGTGGCTGCCTTGGTACTTCCTCTACTATAGCCCATTTAATAGTGATTGGAATAGAGGTATACACAGCCCTCTCCCTCACTACAGGACAGAAGCTTATCTTATGGAAGTCTCTAACCCTACATCCTAGCACAGTGTCTCACTCATAATAGGCATTCAACAAACAGACCCAGTTCTTAGAGACCTGGATTTGTATTTTGGTACTGTGTCATCTGTAGCAAATTACTGACCCCTCTTAGTCTCAGTTTCTTCATCTGAAAATGCGGATACTAAAACTTGTGAAGTTACAAATAATATTTATGAAGTTGATTTTTTAATAAGTAAATGAAATAATGGCCATCATGTGCCTTACATGAAATAAATGCATAATAATGAGAGTTGTTATTGTTAACGATCACAGTGTCTTGTGTCAAACATGGTTCAGGGAGAGAATCATTAAGGACTGTGGTTGCTGCATTAGAAGAAAGGAGTGAATGCTTTTCAACTTATCTACCCCTTCAAGGACCTTCTACATGCTCAGAAATGGGGGCTAGAGAGAACCATTTCTATATGGCTCCTGCATTCCTGGAACTCCCAGTAGAGTGAGTATTTCATCTGAATTGACATCTGACCAACTCATAGGTAATTGGGAAGAAATAATTGACTTTCTTACCAACATAATAATTTAACCACCTACAGCATACCCAATCAGCATCATTATGTGCCAAGTGTTCAATATTTAAAATGAAAGCAGATCTTAGCCGGGCGCGGTGGCTCAAGCCTGTAATCCCAGCACTTTGGGAGGCCGAGGCGGGTGGATCATGAGGTCAAGAGATCGAGACCATCCTGGTCAACATGGTGAAACCCCGTCTCTACTAAAAATACAAAAATTTAGCTGGGCATGGTGGCACGTGCCTGTAATCCCAGCTACTCAGGAGGCTGAGGCAGGAGAATTGCCTGAACCCAGGAGGCGGAGGTTGCGGTGAGTCGAGATCGCGCCATTGCATTCCACACTGGAAAATAGGAGCGAAGCCCGTTTCAAAAAAAAAAAAAAAAAAGAAAGCAGATCTTAATTCTTACTTCGGGAATAAACCTTTGATATTGCTAAAACGTATTGATACTCTCAAAAGCCATGACTCTACCTTTCATTTA